TGTTCATTTTTAATAATGTAAAAAGATTAAAGTTTAAGTTGCATCTTTCCAAACCATAGAACTTCTCAGATTACATAAGTAAGCAGATATACAAAAGCTCAATTTATAATTTAAAATGTGATTACTGGCCAGTAAAGTCATACTAAAAATACAAAGATAAGGTCATCAAAAAAGATGACTTTCTTTGTTCTTTATTTTGAGCCCATCTGACCCGCTGCTCAGAATTTTTCAATATGAGCCATACTGTATAATATTTACAAGAAAAAGAATACGAATTAGCCTGGTGAACAGCAAAATAGAGGCTGTGAAACCTGATTTGTGTTAACCTGCAATCAAATGTAATTTCCATTTTAATATTTATACATCCTTATATCAAGAACCTATCCTTAACATGAGTTTTATTTTATTTGTTTCTCTCTTCCCTCACTTCTGTGAAATGCAGAAGGGAAAGGATAATTGTTATTCACACATCTGTACCCCACTAACTGGTGTTACACATCTGGCTTCCATTGGAGAGCCCCTGACATCGCAGGGAACGGTGATCAAAATTCCACACAGTAGCTTCAAGCTGGGGGCTCATAGCTACTGCAGCATTGAAAGTGGATCTTTTCCTGGCTTCTTTAAATTAAGCATGGTGATGGGATGGTTTAAGGGAAGAACACCTCAAATCACATGACCACCGCTGTGCTTCCGTGTGTCCTGCTTTCTTCATAACAGCTTGGCACTACATTATTTCCCTGTATCTTAGGAGGCTTGTGTGTGAACCAATAGGGTGGAAGGTGGGGAGGTGAATGGATGGTTATACATCATGCATGCATCTTTCACTGTTAGAGTGATGTGCCTTCCCTTATTTTTCACAAATTATGGTCACAGATTATATCCTCTGTGTCCTGAGAGACTGGGCTGTCTCTTTCTTTTTGGTGTGAGAGTCATGTGTTTTGGTGTGTTTTGATGTTTACACCCTAAGTTTTTCTTCATATTCCATTAAACATAAGTTGAAATGTTCTCCCATAAGAGTTAGCTTTTCATATTGGGCTGAAAAAGTCTTCATTTCTGTATAGCAGTCCATGTTATTATAACCTATGGCTTTCAATTGTACCTCCCATAATGAAGATGACTTTAAACACTGTGCTATTCTTGTTATGACCTAAGCATAAGGTAAGTGATTTCTTTAACTGTATCTAAAGTTTGTGGTTGTTTGTTAGAATTTTCTCAGCTTTTTTAAGGCATTTTCACTTTTGTTCGTTACCATTTATTATGTGTTCTTTCTCCTTTTGTTTTCTGTTTCATATAAGATTTCTTAATGTACAGTGTGATCTTTAGCAAAAGTTATATGATACATGTAAACACATGTTGAAGTGAATTATTTGATGGCTCAGAGCAATCTTAACTTGTACAGTTCGTTACCATTTATTATGTGTTCTTTCTCCTTTTGTTTTCTGTTTCATATAAGTGTGATCTTTAGCAAAAGTTATATTATACATGTAAACACATGTTGAAGTGAATTATTTGATGGCTCAGAGCAATCTTAACTTGTACATAAATACTGTTTCTACCTGTTATTTTAGTTTTAATTCCAACTGAAAGGGGATTTGTCAGTGTCATAAAGTCAGATGTTATCTGTAGTAAAATAACATGATTGAATAAAATAAAGTAGTAGGTAATCTGATACCATGCCCTTCATTTTTAATCCCTGACAAATTTGATGTTAGGCCAAAATCTCAGATTTATTTTGTTTTTCAGACTTTCCTTTTTTTCCCATTGAATAAAGCCAGGGTAAGATAAGAAAAAGACAACAAACCAGAAAACTTGAGAGAGATATGTGTTATCTTCTTTTTAGTCCATATGTGTGAGAACAAGAGTAATAGTTGTTTCTCATTTTTATCTTTTCAAGTAAATTCCATTACATTATGAATTAGGTAAAATCTTCACATTGAGATTTTATAAAATAAAGTAAAATATTATAAAGATGACCAGTTTCATAGTACAAGAGGTATGGTCATTTGCTACATTCATAAATAGTAAGCAAAGTTTTTAAAAAATTATTTTTCTCCGTGGGGTGTGTGTGTGTGTGTGTGTATTCAAAATTATTAAAGAAATTCTTATAATCATTGATTTTAAAAGTGATTATCCCCCCCAAATCTGGTTCAAATAGCCAATGTAACATAAATGGGAAAATATTGGTTATATTTCTGTTGGCACTTTGTGAACCTTGATAATTAAATGCTCAGATTCAGGGAATTGAATTGTTTTCATTATCCAAATTTCTCCTCCAAAGCTATTTGAAATACATAACTCTAAATTGAGATGCCACAAAGCACCACTTGGGTTTCTTTATTAAATTCATTATGAATGATTTTTTTGTTAATTTTTTAAGCCACCTAGGGTGTCTTGTTGATGTTATGATTTGATTTGGTTTCTTTGGTAAAGCAAACTAGTTCACCATTTCTATTATATACATTATGTAATGTATATAATAGATATATAAATCTGTTGGAACATTTTATGAAATAATTTGAACTACTTACTCATCTGAACTGCTCTGTTCATTGTAAATCTCTTGTTTCTATCTATACACTAGCTCCACTCTAGATTGGAAGGGCTTAAAGATGAACTCTGGAGGAATAGAGGCTACGACTTAAGAGTAATTATTACTGATCAAAGGAGCTACTTTCCATTCGCAAACGTTGCTTTGCGCTATGGTTTTGAGCTCCTTCTGTTTCTACATCTTGTTGAAGACTTTCTTGACTCCCATTTGACTTCTTTGAACTCTGTTTTTGTCTTTCAACATTTTCCCCTTTCTTTTCCTTCTATTTCCCAGATTTTTCTCTCACTCTTTTAGCTTTTTCTTGTGTTCTTTGAATCACCTTTTAAAATGTACTTTCTCTCTTTATTAATTTGTCTATTAGTGTGTCTTTCTTTTCTCCTTTAAAGCTGTAGTGGTATAGTTACACATATTTTCATTCCATAGTATGCCAACTTGCTCATTTATTTTGCAGCAAGTTCATTAGTTATTCTTACCTTCTTGGTATGAATTTTCAATTAGAAATAGCAGAACATTCTGCATTTACAAACTACTACCTTCTATAAGCCCATACTTTCTTTTCTATTGTCTAGATTTACTCCCTCAAACTTCTTCTCTTTTCCTTTTCTTTTTCTCACTCTTGTGTCTTCTTCCCTGTGTTGTTTTCTTTAAGCAGTCATTAATTTCTTTCCCATTTGGTCCAGAATTGTTCTTCAGTAAGACTTCTGAGTAAAAGAATATAAGAATATTATTTTCCAGATGAGCTTCTTCATTCTAGTATATTTAAAATTAGGTTAAACAGTCTGGGCCAAAAGAGAATAATTTTAACACCTGGATTTATTTTTCTTTTCCCCCCCTTTGGTGTGTGTGTGCGCGCGCGCATGTGTGTGTGTGTGTGTGTGTGTTTATGTGTGTTTTGTTTTTGTTTTTCTTGTGTGTATGTTTGTGACTATTTTTGTTGTTGTTGTTTCTTTAAACATTAACAGTTGTTTTTTTCAGGGAAGGATAACCATAACCCACCCTAAGTTGCAACATTCCTTTCATAAATTGTTTCATTACAATAGTAGATTGTGTTAAGCTATAGAAATTAATTTGTTGTGTATATATCCATTTGGGGCAAGCTGCTGCGGAGTGGGAAGAAGAGGTGTGGAGCTTAAATACATTTTCCTCTGAAATTAGTAATAGTGTTATTGCCATTCAACATGGCCCTTGAATATAACAGTTTTGCAACATTTAAAAGAATGTTCCACTTTGACCTAAATATTTGATTCAAACCATAAAGGTTTCTAATTGATAAGTTATATACACACCTAAGAACTGATAAATAAATGAGTTCAATTATATTGTTTCCAACAAAAGCATCTTTCATAACCAATATTATAATTACAATAAATTATTATAACAAAAGTTTTTAGAATCAAAGGTAAAAGTTGTATATGAGGATTTCTCTACTCTTTGTAACATATATATACCAAAAATGACTATGATAGAATATTTGATTACAACTTTATTACTTGAATTTCATTACTATCCTAGTCAAAAGATATGCTTAAATACCTTAAAATTAAGAGTCTATATTCACAACTGAATATGTGATAACTTTAATTTTTTTCATATGTTGATTTCAAATACACATGAATAAAAAATTGCCTTTGGTTTTATCTCTGTTCAATTTACAGTATTGCACCCCCAATTTTTCTCTGGAAATCAGTTCTTTTTTCAAAGTAAAGAAAAGATAAATAAAAAATACATGGAACTGGGCCGGCCCGGTGGCGCACTGCTACAGTGCGCCGCTTGGGAAGCGCGGTGGCGCTCCCGCCGAGGGTTCGGATCCCACG